TTTGAAGATTGATGTTTTAAAAGAAAAATTACGCTTAAAAGAAATCCTGTTTGTAAAAGAATTTTCTGCCAACAGTATCTAAGGAAGTATTGGGATCATGGTATTTCTCCAACGTAGTACCATTTTCAATGTATTTCCTTAGAGGCAACTGAGAATGGTCTGAAACATTTTAGAAAATTCAGATAAGTAATTAAATATTTTAGAAATATTGCAGTGAGAAGTACAAACAATTAGTCAATGTTAATTGACATGGAGGTCCAGCCTCCGAGAACCCTAGAGTCTCTAAAATCAAGGAGGGAGGCCTAACGCTCTGGGTCTGAATTCCATGAGGGGCCTTTTGAATTTCTGCCAGTAACGTTGAAGGTAGAAATAAAAGTACTTCTGGCACTGATGAGTGATTGCCAGTTTGCCAGGAACTGACTGATGGTCTTTATATATGTGACTGTCTTCAATCCTCAGCACCATCCTGATGCACTGATGTTCTCCCCCAGGCCTGTAGGGACCCTCAAAAGGTCGCCTGTTCTAAGAACTAGGGGAAGTGGATTCAGGCTCAGCTATGACATGGAGGGGGATAAAGAATTATGCCTGGAGGTGGGAACAGTCCAGGCTAGAGGATGGTGACCAGCACAATTAGGATGGTGGCTTTGGAGCTGGAGAGAGGGGTTGAATTTGAGGAGCCAAAGATGGCAAGAATCAACAACTAATTGTCCCTGGGGTGTCCTGCTTAGTCTGCTCCAGCACCCAGAACATGATGCCCCAGACTGGGGGACTTACAGATCACAGAAATTTGTTTCTTGCAGTTCAGGTGATGAAAAGTCCCAGGTCAGGGGGCCAGCATGACCACGGGGCCCTCTTCCAGGTTTCAGATCCCCACTGTGTCCTGAAGCACCCTTCCCAAAGGTGCTTTCTTCCCCTCCTTGGGGTACACAAATGGGCAACAGCTATGTTTCTCTGATCTCTGGTCAGGTATTAGCTACATGGATAGTTTTCCCATTGAGGTTGGCTTCGGAAACAGTTGCATCAAGGTGTTCTCCCTTTGGCATGAGTATTCCTGGAGCCCATTCCTAGAGTTTGAATCGGAGGTCTTGGTATAGGACCCAACAGATCTGTGTTTTATGTGTTTCCCGGGTGGTTATGTCAGGGAGATCCTTGCGCCAGATGTTGAATGCTGAACTGCCCATGGGGTGGTCCCTGCCATGTGATGTGGAGAGGTTATCGTACTGGCCTGCCCTCATCCTGAGCGTGGTCCTCCTTGATGCCTCCCTGCATGCTTGTCATGACTCCTCCTCAGAACCTGGGGCCAAGCCTCAGTGCTGGACGAATCCCGAAAGGGTTACCTCTCTGTGAATATCGCTCATAACAAACAACATGCTTCTTTCCCCCATAATCCATGCCATTGTCCAGTCTCCTTAATCTTCAGGTTGTGTTTTGTTTCTTGGTTTTTCCTTTCCTCATTCACACTCTGGCTCCAGCTCCATTTCCTGATACTGTCTTTCATTCACTCATTCCACATGTATCTGTGAGCCTCTGCTGTGTACCAGCCCCTGTGTTAGCTCAGGGGTACTTAGAAACCCAAACACAGATGCCACCCCTGTTGTCAAGGGCCTTAAACATCTCCTGGTCATCTCCTCCCTCAAGGAAGAATAAATAGCATGCTTATCTTTCCACAGTAATTTTTCTTTAATAATTTAATAAGACCCTATTGACAATAAAACCATTTTAATACTGTACAAAAATCTCTTTCATTAGTTACCATTGCACATTATTCTTTTGGGTAGGTTTTCCCTCCAAGTGCAGAAGTAGAAATCTGGGCTCAGAGAGGTGGAGTAATTTATTAGGCAAATGACTAGGTGGTGGGGATCGCTCTGAACTGGAAGTTCTGCGACATCACAAAACCGGTTCTCTTCTGCGCTCTGAGCCTCCTAATTCCTTTCTTGTCAATCAAAGATAGACAAACTGTGTGGGCAATGGGGGACACTGTAATTACCACTCTTTGGAGAAATTTGTATATTTAAGAACACTTTTTCTAGTGTGGCCCATTCCTGCACAGAACCGGCATTTTCTTGCGCAATATGAAATTTAAAAAATAAAATCTGACCTACAAAGAAATGCTTTATGGTGTGTGCATGCTCTATCATTATACTGAGCACTTCATGCACTCCATCTCTACTCATCATGAGGAGCACCCCGTGGGACAGGAGCTCTTGGTACCCCCAGCTCAACCACGAGGACCGGGGAGGAGAGGTTCAGGGAGGCAGTGGGCCTGAGGCCATGCAGCTCACACACTGGGCCTGGAGAAGCTGTGAGAACAGATTCCTGAGCCTCACTGCTGCGGTTTCCAGTTTAGTAGGTCTGGGGTAGGACCCCAAAGTCGTGCGGCTGCTGCTGGTCTGGGGACCACACTTGTGAACCCCTGCTCTAAATACACTGCCCCTAATCCTCAGGTAGGAAGAGCAGGGAGAGGGTTGGGACCAGTTCCTGTGGATTCCCGCAGTTACTGCAGATTGGATCAGGTATGGTCACCATCAAACTCAAATGTGGAGTTTGAAACCTAGTATTTTGAATGTGACTTCATCTTCCTCATTGACTAAATTGGTGTTTGTTATAATGAATCACATGATCTTAAACAAAAAGGTAGCTTCCTTCACAAGAAGGTGTACTTAGACCTTCTGTTTCCAGGATTCTGTCCTGTTAGTCCTGAACGATAGGATAGTAGGGTGCGTCTTCCTAGGAGAAAGCAATATTCTGTGTGGTATTCTCCATACATTAAGTAGTTTTTCTTCTAAATATTAAATTCCCAGGAAAACACTGTCCCATCCATTCTGCAACAAGAGCCGGAGCTGGAAAACCCAAGTCGCTGGGCTCCTGGGTCAGCGCTAAGTCCCGAGGGCATGGACGCCTCCCGTGTGAAGCGGGGCCGCCGCACCTGCCTCCGAGAGCTCCGGGGAGTGCGTGCAACCACGATGCGATCCTGAGCGGGGCTTGGCGTGAAGTCAGCCCGACTGTGAGGGTGTGCTATCCCTGCTTTCCCTTGGGTCCTCCTTCCATAGCCTCCCACCAGGATCAGAGACGGAGATGGTACAGGGACTGCTAAAGCTGGTAACTACCTGCCAGTGGTCAGATGGCTTTGCTGGCATGGCAGCGTTTGGAGGACTGAGACTGAGGGTGGGGGTGAGGAAGTGGGGACGATACCACTGCTGGTTAATGCGGTAACAGAATGAAGCGCAGAGCGGCTTTCCTTGCTGGCCCCTTCATCCGGCTTTTACTGGAAATGCCTTGAAACTGAAGGCGAGGGGTAGTTCTGCCTGTGAGCGGCAAGGCCAGGGCGTGCCTTGTTGGCTCTTCCATCAGGGAAAGACTGCACTTTGTGAGTCAAGCCTTCCAGGCTTACCAGCTTGAAACTCCTTGCAGAATTTTTAGAGGTTAGGTCCTAGGATCTGCTGCATTTTAGTCTGGCATGCAGAACTTTGCGCCCCCCGAAATGTCTCCCTAGATGGCTCCCTGGCAGAGCTGAGGCGAGGGAAGGCGTGGTTAATCCCTTGTGCTCTTAGTCTTGGGAGCTGGCCTAGTGTGACCCCATTCACTGAAATGAGGTCCGTGCTCTGGTCCCTGAGGTGTCTTGGGGACAGAGGGAAGAGAGGCTTTGAAAGGAGACCTAGGGCCCAATCCCCATTTTCCAGCCAGGAGAGACTGAATCTCCCCATACTTTCCTCCCCTTTCTCATTCTGCCCCCCTCCCCAAGATCACATCAGCTACCACCTATTGAAAACCTGCTGGTTTCCCAAGAACCTGCTCAATGACAAGTCATTACCCCCTATCCTATGGGGAATCCTACATAGCTTCTATCACCCCCATTGCACATGGTGGTAAACTGAGGCTCAGAGATCTCCTTATTGGAGATCTTCTTCCAAAGTGTACGTACCACCAGAACATTCTAGTTCAGGAAAGTGGCTCTGGTTCAGGTCTCTGTGATCCTTTTCCTTACCTGCGTTATGGGGCCAGAACCTTTATCACAAAATTCTTCTCGGCCAACATCAAGGAACTTTCACAGAACACTTTATGCAGCACTGATAAAATAGTAGGGCGCTCCGTTAAGGTCAGCTTCTTGGCCTCCTTCAAATCCCTGGGGTCTACGTGATCGCCTGAGTCTCCTCTTGGCTTGTTTCTCATCCTAGATTTGGACTATTTTATTTTTGTTTGCTCCCTTCTTCCCCATCCAGCCCTCTTGTGATTGGTCCTAGGGTGGGGGTTTGGAAAATCAGCACCCCGTCGAGTCAGGTTCAGCATCTGCCTGACAACGGCAGGCGCTCCCCTGCTTGCCGAGCTTGGGAGAAAACACCTTCGTCCTCATCACTCCAGGCGTCTTAGCTCTTCAGAGACTGCGTTTGTTCTCAGGATAACAAAATGGTTTTCAATTATTATTATTAATCATTAATGGTGATGATTAATAATAATTATTAATCTTATTACTCAATAATCTGCATGTCAATTAATGTACACAGTGTTCTATGCTGTTGGTTCATTCATATTCCTGTGCTCTATCAGGGTTATATGCTATTATCAATCTTCCTGCTACAGATGAGGAACTAGGGTTGGGAGAAGATAAGTGACTTGCTCAGGGTCACACAGGTAGAAAGTAAAAGAGCAGAGATTCTTGCTCTGTTGGCCATGAAGCATGTGCTCATAGCTGAGATGCTTGCCTGCATGGTACTGACAGATGAGCGAGGGCAGAAGACTAGCCGAGCTTTAGAATTAGGAGGGGTCTGAGTCCCAGTCCTTCTGGACGTGAGCTGTGTGACATAAAGCAAGTCACTTCCTCTCTCTGTGCCTTTTCCTGTAAAAGGCACTGCTGAGTGATGACATCTAGTGGACACATTGGGGTCCATTGGGAATTCCCCTGTCCGTCTATGTTAGCACTGTCTGGATTCCCACTGCAGAAGCCCATGCTCTGTGTGATTGTCTGGTATGATCTCACACTCTTTATTTCTCTTGTTTTTCAGGTAATGAACCAAAAAGATCATGTCTGAAGTACAAGGAACGGTTGAGTTTTCTGTAGAGCTGCATAAATTTTATAATGTGGATCTCTTTCAGAGAGGGTAAGTATGCTTCACGATTTGTATTTGCATATTTTAAAAATTAATTTACTGATTGATTAATTCTTGGCAGGGAGTGGAGCTGGTGAGAACGGTTATAGAGCATTTCAGATTATGAGGGAAGGATTTTGCTGTTTTTCCTGGCAAGTGGAAAATCCAAACCGTTTGTGCATTTGCAAATAAACCCTATGTTGACAGAGACAAGAAAATGCTAATTTCCTTCTTGTACTTCCTTCTGCCTTCTCTCTTCTTAGTAGCTCTTTCCATAAATAATGTCAGTCAGTTTTAAAGGGAAGTGAGTTTATTGGAAATGAAGCTTGCCTGTGTAGGTCTGATAAACAGGTGTCTATGTGATCAATATATGTAGGGGCCATCTCCCCAAAACCATGTACCATAAAATCTATGCTGGATCACTCAAAACCTGAGAATTCACAACATCCCCTTTAAATACGTAATTAAAATCTAATTGCTTATGATTTTTGAGGACCTACATGGATTTGGCATTTTATATTCATGACCTTGCTAAGTCCTCATGATAGACTTACCTCTCAAGGGTCACTGCAAAAACAGTGTGACACAGTTGCATAAGCATCTGCACGCAGACCAGAACTGTGTGCTCACAGTGGCCCCGCTGCTTTCCCCATGCTAAGGAAAGGAAACCTTTTCGATGCACTTTAAACTGCATTTGTGATGTGCTCAAGTCCGTAGAGCAGAACAGTAGGTATATGTTGTTTTGTTTTTGCTGCTCAACAAACTACCTTAAACCTCACCAGTTTGAGCTGGGCTCCGTCGGGTGGGTGCCCTGAGCTGGCCCAGGCTCGGCTGACCTCACCTGGGTTCACTCCAGGTCCGGGGCCCTCAGCAGGGAGGCCACGCTTCTCCTCTGTGATCTCTACTCCTCCAGCAGGGCAGCCTGAGCTCGTGTACGTCATCGCCAGGTCCCACGAGCAAGCGTGGAAACATGCAGAACTCTGGCTGGCTAGCCTCAGAACTGCATGGGGTTGTTTTCACTGCCTTCTGATGGCCAAAGGAGTACAAGGACAGTCTAGAGCGTAGAGAAGTCGATGCAGTCTCTTGAAGAAAGAGGAAGGGTCTGTGCACGATTTTACTGTCGCCACCCAAGGTTAGTCTCTAGTTTCAAAGGACAGCTTGGAAATTAAGGCTGCAAGTGCCTCTTGTATATAATAGCCTCTTTTTCATAAGGGGCAGTTCAGTGGGGCTGAGTCACTTTGGCATGTGCCCTAAAAGAGACAGTGAGGAAATAGGAAATGAGGCCGGGACCACTCTGTGTTCCAGGGAAAAAAGGGGTGCAGGAACGGTGTGCTCAGGGTTCTGGATCTGGATTTTGATGCAGCGAAGCTCTGTGCCTCCTCTAGAAGCCTCAGCGCCGGTGGCCCACCCGTCCCAACTTGATCAGGCTGTGTCATTGGCATACAATCACGCACTGCCCTCAGGAGCTCAGGCTCCCATCAAAGGCAGAGTCCCACAGCACAGCTGGCGACAACCACCCTCCCACGGCAAAACACAGCATTTGTGACTGGCCAGTTATGCACATCTATAAATTCTTTTCTAATTTTAAACTAACCCTCATAAAATAGAGAGTGGCTTAAAAGCACATATTTTAAGGGCATCATGAATTGAAGGTAATATTGATAATGAAAGTAGAGCCAACACCAGGAAATGGCATAACCCCCCTTACAAGCTCCTTGCATAAACCTGTTGATACACACACTGAAATGGAATGACAAGGTAATCAGATCCAGCACTAGGCTGAGGAATTTGAACTTACTTAAAAAAACTGTTTAACATATGAATTTGCAATCGCAATGACTCATAATACACCTCATCCTAACTGCGTGTTGGACCTTCATGTACCGACTAAACCTTGTATGAGATAATCACCATTAGCAAGACATTTCAAAATGACACATCTGAACCCCAAGAGACCCCTGTGCAGTTAGTAAACGAAGTTTAGAGATGAGTATGGAAATTGTGACTTATTCAGCCAGCCTATTATACCTTCTCTTCTTTCTAGATCTCTGTGTTTTTAGGAAGAATCTTGTTCAGCCACACTCACCGCTGAAGACTAATACTGAATTAAGCTATGTTAAAACAGAACATTGAATCGCTGGTAAATGTATATTTTTAGTAAGAACAAAAAGATTTTATGTTCCATGAATACACAAAAATAATTTTTGAAGCATGCATTATTGGATTCCTTATCTCATCTTTTAGAAGACCTTTTCATGTACCTTAAGGCATATTGAATATTAATAGAATTGCACATGTGTGTGATTTACAAATATGTGTCAGGGTTGCATGCTCAAAAGTGTTTTCACTGTAACGATGCCAGTCATAAAGAGTCGGTGATCAGTGGGCCAGTAGAATAAGGAGGACTGCCATAAATTTCTTCTAGTTTCTCATGCTAGCATTTCATGGTGTCAAGGGGTGTGTGTTCAGCATGTACTTGGATGTGGATAAGAGCACAATCTCGTGACTAAACATGCTTGAAGGTGGCTTTGCCACAGCACGTCCATGAACAGGCTGCCACATTGCTTGGGTGAAGGCTGTCATACCCCCCAGGGGCGTGCAGTAATCTCTGGCTGTCTAGGCCCTTTCAGCAATAAGATCTTGAAGTTAACAGCCCCAACCCCCTGGATCCCGCTGCAGAGTACTGCGGGCAGGCTGGGCACGATGCCGGCCAGGATTCTGCTTCTGACAGAGGAGCTTCTGACACAGTCCACGATGCTCAAGTGCCAAGGACTTTTCCGCTCTGAATCCCACAGGAGCCATGCTTAGAGTGAAATTAATTACTTTACCTGGGCAGGCACTCCGTGGGGAAGTGGTAGCTGTGATGCGAGCCTAGTGGGCAAGGTGGGGTCCTGGGAGAAAGGAGGTGGAGCATCTCCTGATGTCATGAAAGGAAAGGAAGGTAGGAGCTGGAGAAGCTGGCCTGTTTTGGGACTCATGATGACTTAGGTGCCCCCCAGTCCCTGGGAGGTAGGAATCAGTGTCGGGAGCTGCATAAGAAGGAGCGCACCCTTCCTCAGACTGACTGGGACTCAGGCTAGCCAGGTGCCACCTGGCTTCTCCAGCTGATGAGAAATGCCCCTTGAGCCTCCACCCAGATGCCCCAGCTCTTTGCTACCCGGTTTGGCCAGATAGACACTTTTTCTGAGGTGTTGTATGATGCTATTTTGGAACCACATGGATACAGATCTCAGATTATTGCATGAGAATTTGCCCAGAGCCATTTATATTTGTGGATGGTTTTTCTAGTCCCAAAATGCATATTGCATTTTGGTGATGTTTGCTTTGAGCAAACAGTCTACTTACATTAACCCAAAGTCGATATTGGCCTAGGCGAGTTCCCAGAGGAAAGGCATCTCCTGAAACAGCCAGGGAGCATGCGAATTGTTGCCCTTGAGGTTGGCAGCAGGCCTCATCCTGTCAGAAAGGTGGGCAGGGAGGCCTGGGAGCTGCCTTGGCGTCAGACCCGAGTTTGAAGTCAGATTCTGCCATTTGTAAGCTCTGAGAACGTGAGCCTGGCCCTGTAAGACACTCAGCCACCATCTCATCACCTGTAAAATGGTGATGATACCGTCTGTCTCACGGAGTAATCTGAAGGGTTATGGCATTAATTGAGTTAATTAATTTATGCACAGTGCTCAGCATGGTGCCTGATATCTAGTAGACGGTAGTGAGCATTAGGCTCTGGAAACATGGGTGGAGGATAGGGACCCTGCCCTCAAAGTGTTTGTGAGCTTATGAGAAAGACAGATACAAGCAAAGAAAATGACTAATGTGCAATACATTCTGTAACAGAGACAGAGGCTTGGGGAACCGTGAAGGGACACAGCGGGAGGTGGTGGTGGGGGCAGTCTGTGGAGGTTTGGGGTACCGTGAAGGGACCCAGCGAGGAGGCGGGCAGTCTGTGGGCGGTTAGAAGAGGTGTGCCAGGAGGAGACAGCAGCAGCGCTGTTCCCTGAAAGATGGGTGGGAGTCAGCCACGCAGGGGAGCTGGGAAGGGGCAGGAAGACTTTGGCTCAGTGGTGTTGAGAGGCCCAGCCCACCCCAGAGACCGAAGCGAAGTGAGGGGCGAGAATGGGGCAGTGGATGGGGTAAGAGGATTACAGAATTTATCCCAGCCTACTTTTCATTACATTATTGATTATAGGGCTGTTAATATCAAGCCCTCATGCACTTTTCCCGATAGCAGTGGTGGAGGGGGTTGCTGAGGGCCGGGGGCCGATGTTGTGTGCAGCTTGTTCTTTTCAAGTAGATTGAAGCCTCTCAAGGGTGAGGAGCTGATCTTAGGGGATTTTTTACAGCCCGTGTCCAGCACGGAGCCTGGAGGAGCCTGGGAGATCCACAGTAGCTAATGTTTGATGGCTTCAGTGGTATTCCGTCTTTCAGAACTTCAAACTGCAAACACATATGAGGCCACATGGATCTTTATTAAATGATAATGAAGAGAATGCAGTTCCTAATTCCTAATGTACGCAGTCAGTGCCACTCAAAATGTGACCCAAGGCAGTACTGCCATTACCTGGGTGTTTGTTAGAAATGCAAATTCTCAGGCCCTATCTCAGACCCACTGAGTCAGCATCTCTGGTTGTAAGCCTCAGGAAACCATTTTTAAACAAGTTTTCTAGGTGATTATAGTTGGAAAGCCCAGGAAACCCTACCAGGAGTTTCTGTGGCAGTACCAACCGAGGCCATGTGCTAGGGGCATCTGGAGTACCAGGGGGCCCACCACCCAGACTAAGTACATAAAAAATTTCTAGGGTGGGCCCCGGCATCTGTACCTTCTAAAGTTCCCCGTGTGATTCCAAGGTTGAGAATGGGTGGACTAAGACCAAGTGAATGTTGCCCATGCCAGCTAGCTGGAGCCGCTCTTCAACACCCCTTTCTCTAAAGAAAGCGAGAGCCAGAGAACTTCTTCTCCAAGGTGGTGACCCCTCCCCTTCCCCCAAAGGAGATTGGGTCTGAACTGCGTTTGC